GAAATATCTGCTGCGACTGCTCCTCCTCAGAGCTGCCTTCCTCTTGAGTGTTTGTGGCTCCAAAATGTCTCTTTGGATTGTTTATCTTTTCATCTGCCTTTCCCTTCCTGGTCTGTAGAGTTTCGGGAGCCGCGTGTGATTGAACTGTGGGAGGCTGCCAAGAGAACCAACCTCAGCAACGATGAGCTAGAGTCTCTCAAGGTAGTGCTTACATCTCTTGTGACTGCTTTTATGTTTTTGAGCACGCTCTTGCCCTGTCTGTTCCTAAATGACACTTTTTGTTTTAATGCGGTGCTACAATCTAACTCCAACTCCACAAAACTTTTTAATCAAGCGCTCTTCTGGCACAGAAGCATTAACTGTATTATTTTCCACTACTTAGTAGCTAAGTACTACTTGTGTACGGTAAGCCACGCAAAGTGCAACTTATTATGATCACATTTTTATGTATTGCACTTTTGAAATTCACAAGTATTCCACTCTCCTGGATCTCGTTGTGCTCCTTTCACCGTTTGTCCCCTTGGGCAGCAGATTGCAGTGAACAACTCAATTTAAATGTTTTGGGGTTTCTATCAGGTTTCAGGATCAAATCTATCACAGGAAACATTCAACTTGAATTTCCTCTGTGGCACTTTGCTTCTATTTGCCTCTTGAGATACATATAAGCTACTTGTTCAGCTGTGCATGTAACTGAAGGTTAACTGAACTTACACCCCTCTATGTTGGCTGCTCTTATTCATTTAGGAGGAGCTACGTCACTTTGAGACTAAAGTAGAGAAGCACAGTCATTACAAGGAGCAGCTGGAGTTGTCCCATCAGAAGTTACAGCATGTGGAGGCTCTAGGAGACGAAGAGCACATCAAGAGGAACAAGGAAAAGTATGACACACTCGCTGAGAAGACTAGGGAGATGGGCTACAAGGTAAGTAAGAATAAAGAGGTTCTCTTAGCATTTAATATGCTGTTTGACTTCTCACCCGCATTAGAAATGAATAATAAATTATATGTAGTATTTGGTAATTGCTTATAAGGCTGGAAAGGTCTGGTTGTTGGAGGACTGCAGTAGTCCCAGTGTTAAGTGGCTTTTTATTTTCACAGCTTTTTGTTTGCGCTTCAAAGTTTATAACCATCTCAAAGCCATTCGCACTTATCTAAGTGAAGTGTATGTATTAACGTGTGCTGAAAGTCCAGTGTAAGACCAGATGCATATAACAAACATTGCCAATACAGTAACATAAATGCATAAATAAAATCAAGACAACTGGTTTTCCAGTTTTCACTCCCTGCAACTTGAGCTTGAAATGTGAACAGAATTACAATTTACTATGAAAACAAGCAAACTATTGTTTTCATAGGAAGTAAACTAATAATCATTTGTGTTGACAAGTCCCTGTTTAGCTGCATAGTGGTCTTGCATTTAAATGGCGTGTGTGTTTGATTTCAGATGAAGAAACATATGCAGGATTTGTCCAACAAGATTTCTCGCCAGGGACTCCAACACAACGAACTCTGAGAGGTCATCACGCCAGTGAAAGAACTGTAATGTTTTTGTTTAGTCACACACAACCTTGATCAACCATGCCACCATTTCTTTTTTAACTGCTGTTAAGAAAAAAAATCAGTGTTTTCTGTGAGTCTTTTTCTACTTTTCTAGAGAATGAAATGCTTAATGAGTGAATTCCTGGTTATATGTATGTAATATGCATGAAGTATTATAAAGCAGCTCAGACTGTCAGTCAAGGTACAGATAAATTAAATATAGAAGTGTGAGCACCAGTGTGGTACTCCATAGAACAGTTATTTGTATAACAAGTGGAAATGTCTTATTGTTGGTGGTAGATAAGGGATAGACAGCACTATTGGCTGTCTTGACCAGACCAGAAGCAGTTGGTCTGTTTGTCCACATTACATCATATGTGCTGTTGCCACTGTAGGACCTCATAGTTTCCCTATTGACCTATTTTGGTGTTACTTGAACTGTCTGATCAATATAAAATGAAGATCAAGAGTAGAAGCACTGAAAACTAGTGATCTGAAAATAGAATACCAATCTTTAATAATCAGTAAGATACAAGTGCCAACAACAGACATACAGTAATATTTTAAAAATACAGATTTACAACATTCGTACGCTTTGGCATAAATGAAAGCACTTAATAAACTGTAGAGAAAAGCGGTCTCTGTAGTGACATTAAAGGATATTTTTTGCAAAACGTTAAATTTTCGTGAGTCATCCTCATGCTGTTTCTTTCTCCTCAGAGACACTAGTGGGGAACCAAAATTATAAAAATAAATTTGCATCCATTATTTTACAATTTGTTCTGATGATATCAAGAGGGAGGTGAGAAATTGAAACAAACACTATGCTTTTCCATTCATCAGTTCCTGGCCTCTCACAGACCAGAAGCAGAGGCATTGATTACTGTGATGAATAATGTTTCTGGATGGCTGATTACTTAGTCATGTCCTGCTTGGACCACATGGGCCTGGATTAATGTAATTTGCACCCTGGGTATAACTGTAAGCTGCTTATTTTTATCGAATGCTTTTCCGCTTTGAGGTGAAATGATCACCAGGGAAGTTGGGGCTCTTGGCATTCAATTGTAAGGCATGAGATGAGGTGGGCTTTATCTCACTGTGAAATCTTATTTTGATCCAAACCCAATGGCAGTCGGTGACCTCTTGAGAAAAGAGGTAGCATAAATTATATGGTGATCACAAAGCCTGACGAAAATCAACCCAGCAAGAACTGTAAATACATTACAGCTTAAAAAGCTGTCATTTATTCTTGTTTTCCAGACGCAATAACGATGATAAACAATAGTTTACGCCCATCCCCTTATAATTAAAGCCATTCAACCAGTAATCTTGGTAATCTTGAGATTACTGGTTGGCATCGGTAAGGTAGGTTTCCATCAATCCTCAGCATATACAAGGTGTGATCATAAAGTTCCAGGACTTGTATAATAAAAGGACATTCAGCTGTGTGCTCATTCCCAAAGGCTTGCCACAGCAGATGGATTCGCTGTTTTTGATGTGGCACAGATTTTATACCAGATGCTCTTCCTTATCCAGCCCTCCCTTTAATCCCTACCTGGGACTGACACTGAGTACACTCGCTTGTGATCGCATAAGGATGGGTTTGTGTGTCCTCAAACCAGAAATTTTTGCCTATAAGGCAAATCTGGATCCAAAAAATACTAAAAGGACTTAAAATGTGACTAAATTTGGGGAATCGCCCCTTTAAGGCCTTTTCCTGGATCGCAAAACAATGCAGATCATTTGCAACTACTGCTTAACCACAGACCTTGTTAATGATTTTGTTTTAAACTGGCTTGACTCATGTCTGTGCTGAAGAAGACATTGAGTGTGAGGGGGTTAAGTTTTTTGCATCTTGCATAAAAGCCATGCAGACAACTATGTAACATTTCTGTGATAAAAGGTATCGAGACAAACGCAGGAAAAAGCTAGTTTAAAAGCAAGTATGAGAAAAACACTTAACACAAAATAGAAGCTGCATAAGAAAGCTCCCAAAGCTTTACCGTTAGTGGAATGGACTGTGGGAATTTCATT